GGAATGACTGAAGAGGGGAAATGAAGCCTGAGCACGCGAGGAAATACTGATGGCAATAGAAGGAAAGCTGGTGCTGGAAAGGCGTGGGTGTATACTCCGTTTAAGTGCAGGTGAAGTATTGCATCTTCTTAGATTTGTAGTGAGCATATTGCAAAAATTGAATCATAGGTTCACATAGGTTGGAAGGATGTTCAGAGTTCATCTAGTCCAACATCTTGGATCTGGAAACCCTGCTATTCTTCGTACTGCCCAATCTATTTCCCATTTGTATTAATAAAAAAAAAAAAAAAAGCTCCCTCTGTTAATAAGAAGCCTGGAAGGAGCTGAAGGCATTCAGAGGATGAGGCTTCTGCTGTCAGTCCTGGTTTTGCTGCTTCTGGTTTTCTAAGTGTTTTCCTCTTACCACGGTGTAGTGTGCACTGGAAATGATCAATCAAGGCTCATGCATAGGATGTTTTCATGCTAGCAAGTGAAAAATCAATTTGTGTTCGAAGGAGTAAACAGTAATATGAGCTTCATCTCCCCAGAGTCAAAATGGGTTCCTTGATAAAGATGACAATGAAAACTGAGCTCTTGATGTATAAGCACAGAAGTGCTTATATGCAAGAGCTGAGAGTGGGTTCCTACATTCGTTTAACATGCTACATTTATCTTTCCAATAAAACAAAGATAGGAAGAAGAGATTACTTGTTGAATGCCAATTATGCATCAATAAAACCAGAGGGATTGTTCACGAACAGTTTATCCAGATGAAAATATAGTCGGTCAGTTCTGGCAAAGACATTATTCGTTGTGTGTTTCTGCTTTCTCACACTACGTTTGAATTTTCAGAACTATTCTGACAAGTCTGTTGGAAGATTCTGTTGCTAACGATTTTGAGAAATGCCTGCTGTTGGATGTAAATTACAGGGAAAAGAGACTTTATATGATTTTTCTGTGCTGCAAAACCAAAATCTGATCTTATGCAGGTTATAAATTCTCCAGGAGGTAAGAGTGGTCAGGGAACTGTTGAATGAATAAATGGAAGGTTAGATCAACATGGCTCATCAGATATTGCAACCATTCAGCCAATGTCATTTGATCTGCATAACATTAAAGGCGACTCCCTCACTCTTAGATTTCTGCCCTCCTTCCCTCTCTTTAAAGTTTAGCACTGAGCCATCCGAGCCATACATTAATCCTTTGGTTCCACATCATTTAAGTTCCCTTCTCTGTCTTGTGAGACTGAAATGTGAAGAGTCTTATAACACTGCCTTGTATTAGGTGGAATATTTTGACCATCTGTCCTTTCCTTTTTTCTTCTTCCTTTTTTTTTTTTTTTAACAAGCAATATTTAAAAGTAAATATGAAGCGGTTTGATGCAAAAGAGTTTTGCCAGATTAAAATGAAATTGGAAAATTAGTTCAGTGTAGCATGTAGCTGTTGTGAAATCTTTTTGTTTTGATTGAAGTTTTATTACCTCAGGACGTCTGTCCAGCTTATGTAATGTTCACTGTTCTTTGGTCTGAGGCTCATGAACACACTGCCGGCCGAGAGAAGAGCTCATCATGTGAAATGCAACTGCTCGGTCTTACGGAAGCCAAATTCCTGGAATCTGTCCTTTCGGCTGAGTTAGACCGTGTTGCTCGCAAAGGAAGAAAAGCACCAAAAGCGTGCACAAATGCAAGCTGTGCCCTCCTTTTTAGAATCTGATTACTGATGAAAGCTGAAAAGGAGGGGGGGTGGAGAGTCACATCATGGGTCCTAAACTGCTTGATTTTTATTAGATTACGAAGGTAGTAGTATGGGATGGATGTCCAATCATGACTAAGCTGCAGGAGGAACATGGCATTTTATTAATGGCAATTCTAATAACAATTTGTTATAACACTAGTACTCAAGGAGGTGATGAATATTGTATCTGCTCTGTTTCATTCTGTCCTGATGAATCTGTGCTTGGATGCCATGGTGTGGTGTGCCATGTGGGCCTGCTTGCACTTGTTAGCTGAATGCAAGTGTTTATGGACAATTAAACTTGTAATTTTTGATTCACGCTTTGAAAGGTTGAGAGGTTGTATTTTCCTTTTTTTCCAGGATAGACTGGATAGATCTGTGCCTTTCAAGTCTCTTAGAATGTACAACTGTAGCATGAATTTAGAAAAATGGTCTCATTTCTTTAGAAATCCATTAATAGTAATGTACTAAAAGACTCTTACATTGATCTTCTCTCTGATAGCCATGTTGTAATAATTATTCTTTTAATGTTTGCATCAATCTAAATGTTTTCCTCTTTGTGCTAGCTCCTACTTGGATCTCCCTATATGACAATCACAGCACTTTGACATCTTGCATTACTTTAATACCAGTGATTCAAAACAAAGCAATGCCAAAGGGAACAAAAGTTCTGTCAAGTCATTAAAAGCTCTTCTTTGCCATTAACACAATTAAATTGATGCATGAGCATTTAAAGTTATTAGCAAGTGCTGCCAGCAGAAGCTGGTTGTGATTGCATAATATATAGCGGGCTTTATTAAAGTAAAATGGTATGTTTATTGTTATTATCATCATTAGTTCTGAAGTAACATAAACTTAAACAGGGCTGTGAATTGGGAGAGAACTGTGAAACAAGTAAGAACATCCTCTGCCCTGTGTTAATAGTCAGGGACACAATTATCACAATTATGACATTTCCAAACGAAATACACATGGTGTCTCAGCTAACCATTGAAAATGGCATGTGTAATGGTAGGGAGGGGCGTTAAATAAAGAGAGGACTTCTGTATCTCTGCTGCTCTTGGTTTTCCCAGTCTGACTCACTCGGCTCGATTTTGGGCTGCTCCTGTTACTGCTGTTAGAGATTTTGTGGTTGGTGTGTACACTGCGAGTGTATTTGGGGAGTATTTGTTTTGTTTTCTCGTATTCCAACATACTAATTTTTCAATGAGAAAAGTCAGGAGTGTATTAGAGACATGTGTACTCCCAGTATCCCCCTGCACGTTGCAGTGATACCCATGCTTGCTAATCTTTTGCTTGAAGTTAACTATATTCCACTCTGAATGGGGAATTGGTATGAGGTATCGAAAACGCAGATTGGCAAATACAGGTATTGAGAGGGAAAAAAGTGATTTAAATGAAAAGTGGGGGGTTGAAGGAAGGGCAATGAAGTGTTGGAATATCCAGTCGTGCGGTACGGGGGTGGACTGCCCGCCCAGTGCAGTTAATGCTGACCATCCACTGGAGGTTCACAGCCTAGGTTTGTCAGGTAGAATTTGAGCTGAGTACTGGGGACAAAAGGTAAAGCTCTTTTTTGGTCACTTGAATGTTTTTAAGTAATATTATGGAAAATTATAATCTACAGTTGATGAAGTAGATAAATATCCCTGCAGTGTAGTCATATTCACTTGAGTAACTCTTTACCAAGATATTGATGAACTGTTGGAAATTCAGAGAACAGCGATGAAATAAGCCAAATGGGTGGAAAATCTTGTTTATCGGGAAAGAACGTACAAGTTGAACATACAGCATTTGCGAAAAGTGGAGTGTAATTCCACATGTCTGTGCGTGGTGTAAGTGTGGAGGGAAGTAATAAATTACTTAGAGTGATTGGCTGAGGTGACACCGAAAGCAAAATTTTAACAATTATCACGAAAAAGGGCCAAATAGTTTACAGCACTGCTCCACATTTTATTAAGGGAAGGAATGGGAGACCCGTTTCCCTAC